GGCCTAATGAGAGGCAGCTTGCACCTGAACAAGGGGAGTCTACTGGAATTTAGCCATATAGACCCTCCCATTGGCTAGTAGCCCAGAGTATGCAGAGGAGGGAATTACCGAATAAGCGAAGTGCAGACAGAGCTCTGAAAAAAGGACTGTATTGATGCCTAGGAAGCAGTAGATAACCCCTACCACTAAACCTCTGCATCTGGACCAGGAGGTACAAACTCTGAGAAGAGCTGGTTGGTGAGTTCCAGCACCCATACTCCATCCACAGGGGAATCAATAGCTCCAAGAACATGGGATGTGGTAAAGTTAGCAGATGGCCAGAGTTTTCTGACCCCTGTGCAAAATCAAAGCTAGGCACCATTATGCTGGACAAGCATAACTGAACTACACTAGTAGTGGACAGAATAAAGAAGAACGTTATACCCGCTAGCCATCTTCCTGCTTCCTCAGAGGATATCGAGACAAGCTCTTCTCAGAAAGATCCAACTCCTCATGTGCTAAGTCCTCTTGACCTACTCAGGACCAAGGGACTTCTGAATGAAGCACACTGACAGAGGTGACAGACACAGTGAGGACAAGCACCCATTGCAAAGGAGGCACAACACTAGGATGCACCATCAAGGCCAAGAACACACTAAGAGCCACATCTGTAACACACTATAGAAGTAAAACACACAGCTGCCTTAGATGCCCACTCTGCCCAGTGCACAGGATGCTCCTGGCTAGTTTCTCTGATTTAGTTACACAGAACAAAATCTGCCATTTATACCCTAAGTAATCCCCACTTCTCCTGCCAAGCAACTAATCCAAAGATGGTTCTCCCACCTACATCCCATCCCTTGGCCCTGGCTTAAAATTCCTTTCATATTGTTCCAACCCTAAAACTCATTAGCACCAACTGCACCCAAAGTGGACACAGAGTACTGTAGAGGCCTGGTTGTAGTACACATTATTTCCAAAGACCCACCTGGTTTAACTATATCTACAACCTCAAAGCTGGAACAGTGGCTATTCCAAGGGTAGAAGTTCATGTGTGAGTAGCAGTTTTCTCTAGATCTGGCTTGGTCAGAGACAGAACACTCTAATTCAAGATAGCTTCCAACCAACCATACAGTATTTGCAATTTCCCTTTTCCTCCTGAAGCATCATCCCACTAAATCAGGGGCCAGTTGAGCTACAAACAGCAACTCTGTTTTCAGCATAACATAGGATGCAGAAACATGGATCAAATATCAAGCCTTTGCAAAGCACTTCCCACGGGCAGCTTAGAAGTTTCATGCCTGGCCTGCCCCCAAAGACAACACTGGAGAGAAAAATGACACACAATGGCAGATGCTCAAATGCACAGCACAGCCATAGTCCCACTGGAGGATGTCCCAAGAGGAAGTGAGAATTCACTCAGGCTGTCTAGAAAAAGAACTTTCATGGTAGCAGTGGGCTCAAAGTTGGCCCCTGAAATAAGAGGTCAAAGGTCTAGGGATACAAGGCATGGTCGTTAGATAAGTTCCACCCTGAGCTTTGAGGACATGGAGGGACAGATACAGCCCAGAAGACTGGATATGAGCTTAAAGGACAGTCAAGCAAGCCTGGTGTCTGCATTCTCTACTATCCCTAGCAATCTGTCTGTCAACAACTTTGGAACGTGTCTTCCAGAAACTTACTTCCCTGTAGTAATCCACAGCCCGGACACCCCAAATAGTCTGCCTTTGGTGCTCTCCCATAATCGTGAAACCCAGAAGGTTCCTGAAAGGTTTCTTGGGAACTTCTTCCTTTAAATTTCTTCACACAAGTCCCATCTTGGCATCACATTCTGCAAAGCTAAGTGTTCAATAAATACCAAATACCAGAAAGGGACTCTTCCACCAGGTCCCTGTTAAAGTTCAACTCCAGTAGTATTTGCCAGGTATCTTTTCCTTGATCTTAACTATGAGGTCAGAGCTTTGAGATCTTTCCATGTGAATCAACATCCTGTTTATCTTCCATCATGTAATTAATGGCCTCCATCTGTTAACACCCCTTCCCTTCTAACTCCTCCTTTGGATTTAATTAAGGTGGAACCTCTTGGGATACTCTTTCATCAGAACCTGGTTTGGGGGGGGGTACAGAGAACAAAGAACATTTATAGATTTTTCTTATTTGAATACTCTAGTAATGACTAATATGAATGAGAATTACTCTTTCTAGCAATCTATGACTAAAACAAACACTGTCAACTATGGTACCAAAATTGCATCCACTATATTTTTCTGAAGATAGGGTCCTAGTAGCATAGGCTAGCCTCACATGCATTATGTAGCTGAGGATGACCTCAAACTCCCAGTTCTTTTACTTCTACCTCCAAAAATGCTGGGATACAGTTGCTTTCTCTCATGCCTGGTGCTTTTATATTATTTTTATGTTCTGAATTGTGGCTTTATTATTTAGAAATCAAATGTAATTTAAAGCAAGCAAATTCTAGATTTATTTTACATTATGTATGTATTTTGCATGCACATATGTACACGGCATGCATGCCTGGCATACAAAGGGGTCAAAAGAACTGGAGTTACAGATGGTTAGGAGCCACCATGAGGGGTCCTAGGACCCAATCTGGGTCCTCTGTAAGAGCAATGAGTGTTCTTAAATATTGGGCCAACTCTCTAGCTCTGAAATAATAAATTAAAAAAAAAAAAAACCAACCTGATAAGAGAATCTCTCATTGCAGTAAAGGAAATACACACACAGGTACATCGATTTATGTATGTGTATATGTGTGTGGGCACACAGGTACCATAATGTACACATGGAGGTCAGAATACAACTTTTAAAAAAAATTTTAATGACTTATTTTATGTGCATTGCTGTTTTGCTTGCAAATATGTATGTTGAGGGTGTCAGATCCCTTGAAACTAGTGTTATAGACAGTTGTGAGCTGCCATGGGGGTGCTTGAAATTGAACCTGGGTCTTTTGGAAGAGCAGCTCTTGCTTCTAACCACTGAGCCATCTCTTCAGCCTCTTTTCTTTTGGGGGTTGAGACAGAGTTTCTCTGTGCAGCCCTGGCTGTACTCAAGCTCAGCTCTACCTGCCTCTGCCTCCCCAGTTCTGGGATTAAAGGCAAGTGCCACCACCGCCTGGTTCAAAGTACAACTTTGAAGAGTCAGTTTTTTATTTCCACTATGTGGGTCCCGAGACTTAACTCAAACTGTCAGGCTTGGCAGCAGGTGCCATCTCACTGGCCCAATAAAGGTTAATCTATAAAGTAATCTAAGAGGCAGTAAGATGAAAAGATGTATTTGACTTTAACTATGCTAAAGTGAAACAGTTCTAAATCCATTGTTCCAGGGCTAAAACTAGGCAGACACTAGAGCCAATGGATAAGGCCGATTTAAAATTTGATGTAACAGACAAGACAGGGATGCTTGAGTAGAAAGACAAGAATGGTTATAAACACTCACTGTTTGAAAAACCAACAATAAAACATACACCCTCACTATAAAAAGAAAATCCAGCTGACATTTTCTGGAAGGTTAGTTCTCTATCAGAAAAAAGACTTGGTCAACTCAGAAATGGGGACACCTCGGGAGAAGGGTTGTGAGGGACTAACATGCTTTCATCTCAAACCCTAACTTCTTGGTTATTCTGCAGTAACTCTAGCATTCTTATTTCCTGTAATAATGCCAGACCACACCGAGAAGGTGTTCAGTCAGTTCTTTTGAAGTGAAATGGGCTCCCAGTCATTCGGGAAAGCCTTCTGAGCAGCAACTTTCAGGCTGGCAAGGCACAAAGTCAAGTGCTATTATGTAGGCTCAACCAGAAAACTCTAAAAGTTAGTATAAGGCCTATAGAGAAAAGGGAGAAAGCTATTTTCTTCTAAATCTGAATACTGCAGTTCTGAGATATCAGTTATGCACTATGCCATACAACTCTTGTAATCGAAATATTTTTTATTATCCAAAGTTTAACAGTATTAGTGTTTAATTATATGTAAGATAAACTACAAACTACCCTGGAAATTCCTACCATTTTGCAAAGGCGGTGGGGAAACCAAGTTTGGAAAGCTGATCAAAAGGATTCTACATCTGGTCTCTCTTAGACAACTCTTAAGATTTTTCTACATCTGGCCCCGAACATGAATTCAATACAAATAATTCATACATTTGAAGTAAAATGACACCTTTGGACATTTTTACTCAGGAGGTACCTTGTAATAACTTCAGAGCCCGTTCATATTATGGATGAGAAGGATGGAGCACAAACTCTGCAAGTCACTGGGAAAAAGGCAGCCACTGTGTCAACCTTCATGGCCTACGTTAATTTAAACGTCTGGAATGTGAAAAGACCAGATGAATGCAAAGGGTTCTCAGGTTCCAAAGCCAGCAAATAGCTGGGGCGATGGTGTTCACACACCCTGAGCAAAAGAACCTACGGAGAAAAAGAAACTAGAGCCACAGTAAAGCCTTCTCGACCAAAGAGCATGAAAGGCAAGGCGAGGGAGAGAGGCACTGTTAATCAGAGGGCTGAGGCTGATGGGCACCCGAGTGCCATCCTCTCCCTCCGGCCCAGGACTCTGGCCTCAGAGTGCCCGCTCCGCTGAGTGCCCTCGCTGTGGAGAGGTGTGTGCCGCAGATGGCGACCAAGGCGGCCGGCCCCCCGCTGACCCACGAGGCCCTCACCTTGTCTGAGTCTAGGTCGGGGTCCGCCTGGCACAAGCGGTACAGGAAAGACTTCGGGTCCCGGCACAGCGTCTGCCGGGTGGTGAGGAAGTAGGTGCCGCCGACGTTGAGCCGGACCCACTTGGACACGCACAGGCCGCCCCCCAGCCCCGCCCCGAGGCCGCTCGGAGCCGGCGGTAGCAGCTCTCAGTGATTCTCCGCCATGATCCCAACAAGCCCCGCCACAGTATCCCTTCGCCGGAAGCGTCCGTTCTTTAATACAGTCCTACGAGTTGTCCCGCCCACAGGTCCACCCCAGTAAAATGCCCGCCCAGGCATGATGTGCAAGGCGGAAGTTCCGGCCCGAAAAGCAGGCCGGCGACAACCGCTTCCGGTCAGAGCGAGCCTCGGGTTCTCACTGGGATCCTCGATTCCAGCTCCGCCCCAACCCCTGGCACGGCCCTGGCCCTGGCCCTAGCCCCGGGCAAAAGAGGAGGCTGGATGGCGAACGCGTTCACTCTACATGCTTTTATTACAAGACTACCGAGCATACGAGGAAAATCCATCATCCGGTAATTACATCTAAAGCACAGATATTTGAAAAAAAGAGAAAGATTTTTTTCATTAAATTATATGATTAAACCATGACCAAATAGAAAATTTATATAATAAAGCCAGGAAAAAAGTTGTAAAATATAGTTTACAATAATTATTCACATTCAAGGCTGTACATCAATACATACAACAACGTGGCCCCAAACATGAATCCAATCCAAATAATTCATATATTAGAATTTAAATAACAGACTGAACTAGAGGCCGACAATAGCCAGCAAATAACCTTATATAAGAATAAAAATACAAAAGTGTATATCCTAGTATCATTGCATTATCTGTTTTCATAAGTATTTTTAATTTTGCTTTGCCTGTACATCACAGTTACAGCTACAGACCAGGTAGAGAATATTACACATGTTCTAACTGACTGCCACCAACCTGAATGACAGCAATAGACTATTGATTCATCCTACTGTATGTGGCTAAGGAACAGCCGAAGCAGCTCTAAATACTGTAACATTTTAATTTGCCAATGTCCAATGAAACTGTGGTCATAATGGAGGCTTTCACCTGCACAATGACTCACTTGTAGTCATTAACCCAGATGATTAAACTAGGGTGGACTACATGAGGAAGGGAAAATTTGCCTTTTGTAAAACCTGTACAGTTTGAATTCTTCATATGGAAGTAAAGAATTACAGGGGAATTTCAGGTATTCACATCGGTTAATTCATTTGCTCATCACTGGAAAGGTGCTTTGACAAAAACAGCTTCCTTCCTAGGCCACTTTTCCACAAGCATTCTGATTTATAACCCTTAGGTATTAGGCCAGAAGCCAGTTATCTTCAGAGGCTCTGAGAGTGGTCCCAGCCCTGTCTCATCTGCCAGGGTCCTTGTCATACATTCTACCTAAGAGGTGCTACACCCACTGGAGTCAGTTTATGTTGGGTTTTGCAATAAAACAACAGAATGGAGAAGGTGTACAGCAGCATCTCTTGGAACATGGTATCCTCACTCAGAGCTGCTACAGCCTTCCAAGTCTCAGACATGAGCACCTTGGGTCTGTGGCGCAGTAGGGAGAAGCCTTGAGGCATCAAAAAGCAGGTAGCTGATTTCTTGAGCCCTAGGCTCTGGTAGAATTGAGTAACACTGAGTGTGGTGCCCAAAAATACTCTGCTGTATATTTCTAAATAGAATCAACAGGCCCCACCCAACACAAAGATACAACCCAATGTGGTTAGGTGGGCTGTAGTAGAAGACCATAATTACCTGTAGCACACAGAAAGGTTTACATAAACATCAGCTTGGATACCCATCCTCTGCAATGAAAAAGCCTGGTCACTGTGCTGTCCTGAACTGCTAACCTGAGGGGTGGAACAAGGACACAACTATACTTTTATAAAACCCAATCATCTACATGGTTTCTTTTTCGATTAGAGCTTTGCTACTCTGCTTTACAACTGATCCCAAAATGGCCCAAATGCACTTTCTGAGTCTATAAACTTAATTATGATTACCCATTAAGCATGTGGCATTGTCAGTTTAACACTTTATCTCTGCTGACTATGCAGAAGCAGATTCAGTACCATTGTGGACACGAAGTACAAGATTCTGAAAACATCACCAAGCACTTGGAAGCCATAGCAGCAAAGATGGAAGAGAAGTAACATGAATGACCAGATTCTTGCACTGAAAATGAAGAAACTGGCTTATGGAAAAATCTGTCTCAAATGGATCTGCAGTAATGAAATTTGAGTATTAAAAAAAAAAAAAAGAGCGGTCATAGTCAAACTTTCTTGGGAATACACAGCTTAGCAGAAATTGTGATCAAAAGTCTGTAGGACATGAGAAAGGACGTGTTAATGGGACTCAGAGCATCAAAGATCAGACCGAGGAGGAGGAGCAACTTCAAAATGAACAAATTCTTTGACCCAAAAAAATACCACTTGCAGGCATGTGAGGGAGAGAAAAAATCAGAGTAAAAATCAAAGACAGATAAGTATATTCACCACAGCATTATTTAAATAGCAAAAAACAAACAGAAAACCCCAAAACCATCTGAATGTTTAACAGGGAAACAGTTGGATAACTTGTAAATTTACAACCATTTGAGTCCACAATTATTAAAAACATGCTTTTGAAGAACTGCTCATGGTATGGAGAAATGCTTAGGGTAAAAAATGTCAAGTGAAAAGGCTGGATACAAAATGATGTATGCTGTATGCTCCCAGTTTGATTTAAAAAGCAAACAAGGGCTAAGGATGTAGCTCAGTGGTAGAGCACTTGCTTAGCATTCCTGAATGCCCTGATTCAATTCCCAGCACTGGGACAACTGACAATAGCAACAAAAAGCTGGGGAGGGAAGAGCAGGATCTACATTAAAATGCTCACAGTGGTCTCTGAATGGTGGGCCTTTCTTTTCTTTTACTTTCACAAAACAGATACTACTTTTAAGAAAGTACACAATTACCTGCCTCCTTGCTGGCACTGGGAATCTGTGCCACACTTGAATATCTGCAAGGTTACCTCAAGCATAGATTATAAACACTAGGGTGGCCCAAAGAGGGCTGCAGCAGGTGAAGTTTCTACCAGCCTAATACAAGCCATCTTTCTCAAAGTGGTTTCTACTGAATCAACCAGGATAGAGCTTAGAATGATGGCTGAGCCATGGTGCCACTCTCTAGAGTACCTAGACAACTACAGCCCACTGCCCAACCAGAGTGCAGAAAAACAGGTGGAAATGACCCATTCCAGCTCAGCTTCATGTGACACCGCCCTGTGAGGTACAGTCCTAGGTAAGAGAAGCCAGAGGACATCTTGCCATTCTTAGGGCACATGACTTCTGGAGCTACTAATGGGGCATTTCCTTCTCTCCTTAGCTAGATCCCCTATTTACTGTCTCCTCTCTCTCTCTCTCTCTCTCTCTCTCTCTCCCACACACACGCACACACACACACACACACACACACACACACACACACACACTGACACCCACATCCTGTCCTACAGTGTAAGGCACCTGCACACTGGGTGATGGCTCTAGGGATGACTGGAAAAAAACGAAAATGATCTAAGTCCAGGTAAGAAAAGAATGTACATGGTTCTTTAAGGGAAAAAAAATCAAGGAAAAGGGGGCAGTAAGGATAAAGATGAGCTGGGAAGAGCTCAACTATTGTAGCATAGGGCAGTCATCATGGCCACCCCCTACCAGCTCAGCTAAACTCTGATTTTGGAGGTTAGGATGGCACTTGGTAAAGCCCAGGAGGTAGTGTTGCTCTCCAGGGGAGAAAACAACAGAGGACTCTCCCATAAGCCAGCCAGGTGTTCTAATTCAAGCCACACCTCAGCCCCATGTGGTCCCCTGTAGTTAAGTGTCCTCAGAGATACCTTCCCTGTGTCTGTATGCATGTGACAGCCAGAAAGCCATTTTTACACAAGTAAACGCAGGTTATAGGACATTCTTGAGGGCTAAATAGCCACAAGGCATGAACAAGAACAGGACTCTAAGGAGGAAACACCTAAGTGAAGCTAACAGATTCTTCAAAAACCAGGAGAAAGAGTGCCGACTTCCACTCACAGACTGACAGTGTTCTGGGCTATCTGTTCCCTGGGTCCTGGGGGCAGGTGAAGTCCTGACACCTGCTCCTTGGTCACCTGACACTTATCACACAATCTAGCAAAGTCTGAAGAAAACCCCTGCTCCCATCCAGCATCCCTGCCAAAGCTTGATGGTAAGCTTCTCATCTACACTCCACCCTCTTATTAAAATTTGAGAATAGAATCTCTCCCCTCTCAGTTTGGGTGGCCTGGCCCACAGGTGCTCACTGTGGACAGCACTGGGGTAATTGTGGTGTGGGCATTTTTGGAGCGCCTTTGTGAAAGTCAAAAAACAACAACACCAAAAAAAGGCAAAATTGTTGCTGCCTTCGGTACATGGGAGTCAGAGGTGTTGCTGTGAGCAGTCTATGAAGGCAGGTGCCTACTTTTCCCCACTAGGGACCAAGGGCCGCCCTTTAGGGACATCCTAGTCAGAGAGAAAGGTACAACTAAGTCCCTCAGAAGCATTCTGCAAGAGTGCCGAACTATCTCAGACCATCTGTGTTACAGAACAAAGCACTGCCAGCTCAGCATCAGAGAAACGTCCCAATACTGGAAAGAATTCCAGGACAGGCAGGCTCAGGTTTAGGTGGGCTGTTCCTATGAGCCAGACAGTGGTAACATTCTTTCCAGGCAAGGTCCATGGCTTTATGGTACCAGGTGACCAGGCAACATGAGAAAGCTTTCAGATTTTCAACAGAGATGTAGAAACTGAGCTAGCTGAGAAGTACTTACCCACAGCACTAACAGGTACATGTGAGGCTGCGCTGGAAATTGGCATACACCCTGGGATTTCTCAGCTCCTGCCACATTGGCATGTGACCTACACATTTAAACCTTTGCAGAAACTTCCAGGAAGGCCTGCTACCCCACTCCTCCACATGGGAGCTGTGGCCCAGGCTGGATTCTCCATGGTACCTCCAGGCATGCCCTGGTTCAAGACAGGATTCTATATCGGGTAATGATCTAGTTGGTGTTATCTAGGCGCTGGTATGACTCCTGAACAGACAGGCACCACTCCTGAACACATGCTTGGGCTTGGTGTCTAATTCCCTGGATGAACTTCTAGGAAGTGGAATGACGGAGCAGAGCCCAATGAGGGCAGCCTGTAACTACAGCAGCCTGCATACTTCTCACCATACAACCTGCCTACTGTAAGGCAGGGACCACAGAAATGCTGCCATCGGAAACACACCTGACCACATCTCTAGGGCCATATAAGGGACTCAAGGAAGGGAGTACACACACAAGCTAAGAGCCCTGTACCCACAGTGAGCTGGTGACCACCCCAGCAGAGGAGTGAAGAGGCTCCCCGGTGAAGGAGAGCCAGATACACCCGGTCCCTCAGTCACAAAAGGAGCTGTGTTTATCAGGTGGGGAAAGGTAGAAGCAGGCATGCAGTTCCTGTGGATGCTAGGAGGGGCTGGTGATGCCAAATGTGGCCACTGGTCTGGGCAGAAACTGGGCTACCATGCAAGGAGCTGGGTCTCCATGGCCACAGCAGTGCATGGAAGCCACCACAAAGCACAGAGAGCAAGCAAAGCGACCCTGAATTCCTGTTTGTTGGTTATTTGTTTTGTTCTTTGTGTGGCTGGGTTCTTTTTTTTCTTTTCTTTTAAATAAAAAAGCTGCAAGGTTTCCATCATCCATGTTCTCCTTGAGATGGCTGGCAGGTGGTCTGGAAGCGTCCTGGGTGGCGGCCGAGCCGCGCTGGGGCAGGTATCCTGGCAGCGATAGGCAGCCCGGCCGCAGGCCGCGTCACTGCACAGCAGCATCTGGATGGCTCTGGTACCGCTGCCTCCAAACCTCCTGGATCTTTCTGCACCATTTGTGAGCATTCCCACTTGGATCCATCAGGTAATACGTCCTGTTAGGCTGCAAAGACAGAGCATCTGATGTCCTCCAGGGAGTCCCGTCCCCACCCAGCCTGTCTTACTGTCAGTGCTGCCAGCACCTTTTCAAAGCCTGTGGGCACAGTGGGCTTCTTCATTCTACAAGTGCAGAAACTAAATACATGGGCAGGTGACCTACTGAAGGCAAAAATCAAGCAGAGTATCTCCTGGCCCAATTCAGGCCTAAGTTGTTCATACAGGTCTGAGACACAGGAACCTGACCTGACCCTAGATGCTTCCCTAGCTAAAGCAAGGGACACTCCCAACAGAAATGCAGAAGCCTATGGTGATACTACAATCAGAAGCCTTATAGGGACAGACTCACCGTGTGGACAAAGAAAGTTTTAAAATTCTTGGCCTCTGGTCGGAGTTCTTGTGACCATGGAATTTCACCTTTCAAGACTTTGTTGACAGGATCAACATAATATAAATGTGGCCCTTCTGTGAGTAATAACTGCCGTCGTCTTGCAAATAAACCCTGGTACAAATAAATAAATAAATAAATAAACAAACAAACAAACAAATGTTTGACCAAGTCACAAATGGGACTAACTTGTAAGTAGCTCAGGGCATAGTGACTGTCAGCCACCTATCTATTCACCTGAGAAACCTCCTCCTCAACCTAGGCCCAGCATCTTACATCAAGAAAACATAAACATGGTAGCCAGGTGTTGGGGGCACACGCCTTTAATCCCAGCACTTGGGAGGCAGAAGCAGGCGGATCTCTGTGAGTTCAAGGCCAGCCTGGTCGCCAAAGCGAGTGCCAGGATAGGCTCCAAAGCTACACAAAGAAACCCTGTCTCGAAAAACCAGAAAGAAAGAGAGAGAGAGAGAGAGAGAGAGAGAGAAAGAAAGAAAGAGAGAAAGAAAGAAAGAAAGAAAGAAAACATAATCATGGGTCTCTGCTATTTAGCTCACAATGTGCCCATCAATGGCTAGTTTATAGTCCCTTGGCCCCTCAGCTTCTCTAGGGTAGATTCTGTCCTTGGTAGGCCAGGCCTCAGCCCACCTTCATGCAGATTTTTACTTCCAGAGTATACACAGCCAGGAAGGGTGTTAGGAAGTCCCTGTTAGTCAAGTCTAATATATTCTGCACTATCGGTTGCCCATAAAATGTAATAAACAACAGGACAGTGGTGGCCTACACCTTCAATCCCAGCACTCAGGAGGCAGAGGCAGATAGATCTCTGTGAGTTCAAAGACAGCCTGATCTACAGAGACAGTTCCAGGACAGCCAGGGCCACACAGAGAAACCATGTCTCAGAAACAAACAACAAATGTAATAAATGACAACTCCTGTATTTTCAAATCTTCTAATGAAGAACTATTTGCTTGGTTCTCAGAAATGATACATCTTCCTTAATGTGACAGAAACCTTAGCATAGTGAGATGGGCCTTGTGAAACCATGAGAAAACATGCCCTGTGGTCAGAGCATAAGGCTGGTTTTCCACATGCCTCCTATTCCTTGAGAGTCTGAGTGTTCCCAGTTATAAAATCTAGAGATGATCTCCAAAGATCATGCCAAAATGCCATACCCAACAAATCATGACAGGGCACCAGGGTGAAGAAATGATCTGAGTTAGAAGCAGTAGGAAGTCATAGGATGAAGAACTGATGTGAGTTAGAAGCAGTGAAGTCATAGGATGAAGAGCATCAGGGACTTGACTTACCTTTCGCTTATCCACTGGGCCCATTTTTAATATTAGGTTATTTTCTACAAACTGGTGCCTAAAGGAGAAAGAAATAAGAATGAGAAAGCAGTTCTCCAAACTCTGTCCTTTGGACAAACTCCATGGGGCCTCTGTAGACTTTCTATCAGTTAAGTCTGCCTTCCACCCACCCCAAAATTCAACCTCTCTTCAAGTCCAGGAGATACCCCAGATGCAGTGATGCAACGTGTATAGATTTTATCTGTACATATGTGCCAGAATCTACGTTCTCTGGGGTCATCTTCCAGTTGGAGATATCTGCATAGTAGAGGAAGGCTGGGAGACAGTGCCATAGAAACAAGGTAACACACAGCATCATCATCATAATTATCATCATGTTAAAAAAAAAAAAAACTACACTGGGGCTAGGTGTGGTAGTGTACAACTTTAATCTGGGCACAGAGGTTTGGATGACACTGTGAATTAATATTAGAATCTACAAATTCTAATATTCCCAAGCCAGGACACCTAACAGTGCCTAGAATGCAGAGTTCCATGGAATCACAAATCCTTAAAAGATGGCTTCAGGATATCTTTTCTGGGTTGAGGTGGATTGCTCAGTGGAACAGGGAGTGTTTAACATGGGCCAGGCACTAAGGGCCTGGGGTTTCAATTCCCAAGATGGTGATGGGGGGCGGGTGTCTTTTCCAACATTTGTACAATATTGACAAAAGACATTTATTGAAATATGTCAAGGATTTGTTCTGACCAGAAGTCTGGAATCAAACCACTGACTCTTTGCAATAAACACTTGCAATCAGAGACATATGGACCAAGGAGCACACGGTGTGACTTGTTGGGTTGCACTGCAGCTTCCATGATGATATTCTTAATCTCTCCCCCCACTTTTAATTTTTTTTCTCATTTTATTTTCATTTTTTTCTCTTTAATTTTGTTTTATTGGAGGGGGATGCAGGGGTGGAGGGAGGGTGTGAAGGGATGGGGATTGAATGGATCAAGATACATGATGTAAAAAACACATAGAATAAATAAATTGTATTAACCAAAAAAAGAATTTGGTCTGGGGCTCTACAGGTAAAGGCACCTAATGACCAAGTTCAACTCCTGGAACAACATGGTAGAAGGAAAAAACTAACTCTCATGAGTTATCCTATTACTTTTACACATATACTATGGCATGAACACATGGAAGGAGAAAACTAACTCCTCCAAGCTGTCCTCTGACTTCCATGTGCACAAACAATACATGATATTAATATTTTTTAAAGAATTTGGTTTGACTTATTACATGAGTATGTGTACTTCACTTTTGTCTCCTCAGAGTCAAAGATAATTTAACATCTAAGGTTACTTTATTAGGTTAAAGCTACTCTTTTTTAAAATTTAATTTAGTTTTATGCACTTCAGTGTTTCTGTCTGCATGTGTGTCTGTGTGAAGGTGTCAGATTACCTGGAACTGGTGTTACACACAGTGAATTGAACCAGAGTCCTCTGGAAGAGCAGTCACTGCTCTTAAACACTAAGTCATCTATCCATTCTCCATAAAGCTACCTTTAAAATACCTGCTCATGGTACTTTTTTTTTTTTTTTTTTTTTGAGATACTATGATACAACCCATTGCTTTGTGTATCCAGGAAAGCCCTATGTCCTGTCTGATGCCACTTCTACAATTAAAAAAAAGTCACATTTTCTGCCTGAAATTTTTCTAAGTCAAGATACTCTGACACCTCCCCGAGGAGCCAGAGCACTCATGAGCAGAACCCTCTAGACCCCACTACCTGACCCACACTAAACCAACCAGACTACCTTTCCAAAGCACAATGTCTAACCAAATTCTTGGTCTCAAGTCACACACAATATAGTACTGTGTAGACTTTGAGAACTAAGATTCTGAACAAAGACAGGACAGTGACCCATAAAAAAGTGCAAAATACACATTCTCTGATAGGTATTTACTAACAAAACACCCAACTTGAAATACAGGGGGAACAGGCTGGTTCTGAAAAGTACATTAGTGAGGAAGGCTTACTGCCACATAGAAGGTACAGAGCAGTAAGATGTGCAGGTAACACTGCAGGCCTGCCAGAAAGTTCACCTAACAAGCAGGCCCAGTAATAGTTAAGCAAAGACTTACAAGTAAAGAAAAGAAAGATTTACTAATTAAATTATTGGAGGGGGAGTAAACAACACAGGAAGCAAAGGGTCAGAAGCCAAGAAAGCAAACATGCTCGTATAAACAAGTACCAGTGTGCCCTTTGTTCACTCTGCACATAGAGAATGTACTCACAGTCCAGTCTTCTGGGGAGTACATGTGCATGTGTGTGCATGTTCGAGAAATGTCACTTGCCTATAGTCCAGGATCCAAAGGCTCAGGAAACAGAGGCCAAGAAAGTCCATTAGCAGCAGCAACACCACAATCTACTACTTAACCAGCCACTTGAAACAAGTTACTGTTTATTTATCTGCCTACTTTCTCTTTCTTTTTTCCATCCTTTCTTTTTTATGGTAGTGCTGGGGGTTGAACCTAAGGCAAGCATTCTATCACAGAGTCATATCCCCAGCTCTGTTTATCTACTTTGAAAACATTACTTCAAAGACTCATCTGGACTTTCTTAAAAAAAATTTATAGTCTGGGTAGTGGTGGCACAGGCCTTTAATCCCAGCACTTGGGAAGTGGACAACTGTCTTGGGGGAAAAGTATGTGTATGAGTGTTCTGCCTGAATGTATGTCTGAGCCTGGGGAGGCCCAAAGGGGATGATGGAACTGGAGTCACAGATAGTTGCTGAAATGTCACGTGGGAATCAAACCCTGGTCCTTTTAACTGCTGAACCATCTCTCTGGCTCTATTGACTTTTTACTACAAAGTAAATCCCCTATCCTGGAGAGGCCCCAGGCACACCTTAAGCGTCTTTCTCCCTGGAAGAGTCATAGCTAGAATTTCACCTGAAGTAGAGCCACAGGTGCTACTCAGTTCATGGGTAGCTTCTCATTCATACATAGCAATGTGGCTTCTCCCCAAACAGGCAAATTCTGTCATTGATGCCAGAGAGTTGAAGACTCACAGGTTGAGGAGTTCAACTCACAATGGCAGCAAGGCAAAACTCCAAAGCCTGGCTCTCTCCTCTACTATCCATACACACCCCAAGACTATCCCGCTCCTGTCTCTGCCTCCCGAGTGCTGGGATTAAAGGTGTGTACTACCACTACTGCCTGGCTCCAGACCTGAAATCTTGAGGAAATGATAGAGAATCCCAAACCCAAAGAAAGTGGGCAAGATACTGTAATCCTCCTGTTCTTACTAGCACTTACAGCCCCAGGCAGAGGAAAAGCCCCCAGAGGAGCTGAAACATGCACACCCTGAAGACAGTGCTTCTGACCCAGCTCTGAGAGGAAGGGCTCCTGTAAGAGGCTATAGAAAGCAGGAGTGCAGGGGACTCAGCATATACACAAAGCTCCTGTTGGAACTGCAGCTAGGACTGCTCAAATTGTTTTGATCAAAAATCTTCCTTTACAGAATGGGAGAAAATATTGACCAGCCACACTTCACATAAGGGGTTAACATCTAGAATATGTAAAGAACTATAAACACTTAAAAAAAAAAAAAAAAGCTAGGCATTGGGGGCCCACACCTTTAATCCCAGCACTCCGGAGGCAGAGGCAGGCGGATCTCGGTTGAGTTCGAGACCAGCCTGGTCTACAAGAGCTCGGTCTAAGCCTCCAAAGCCACAGAGAAACCCTGTCTCAAAAAACAAACAAACAAACAAAAACCCCAGCCAGGCAGTGGTGGTGCACGCCTTTAATCCCAGCACTCCGGAGGCAGAGGCAGGCGGATCTCGGTTGAGTTCGAGACCAGCCTGGTCTACAAGAGCTAGTTTCTAAGACAGCCTCCAAAGCCACAGAGAAATCTTGTCTCAAAAAAACCAAACATGACCAGTGCTTGGGAGGCAGAGGCAGTTGGATCTCCGAGTTTGAGGCCAGGCTGAAACTTGATCTACACAAAGCAAGTTCCAGACAGGTTCCAAAGCTACAAAGAAACCCTGCCTCAAAAAACAAACAAACAAAAAACAAACAAACAAACAAACAAGGAGCTGGAGAGATGGCTCAGCTTTTAAGAACATTTAGAGCTCTTCCAAAGGACCTGACTTTAGTTACCAACACCCACTTTAGGTGGCTTACAACCACCGGTCATTCCAGCCCTAGGGAACCCAATACCTCTGGCCTCCTCGGATACCTGCAATCATGTGCACAGACCCACACATACACATAATTAGAAATAATAAAAAGATAAATAAAAGCCAGGTGGTGGTAGAACACACCTTTAATCCCAGTACCCAGGAGGCAGAAGCAGGCAGATCTCTGTGAGTTCAAGGCCAGCCTGATCTACAAAGTGAGTTTCAGGACAGGCTCCAAAGCAACACAGTGAAACCCTGTCTTTCCTCCCACCCCCACCCCCCAAAAAAAACAAAAACAAAAATTCTTTTTTATCCCTGATAGTAATACTACCTTAGGAATGAGTGAGTTAAGGGACAAATTTAAACTCCCCAGAATTATTGTAGGTTATTTCCAGGAGCAGAATCTGTATTTAATTTTTCTAGAGAAAATAAGTTTTGACAGTAAGACCTTCTAGTCTTAGCCATCTGCATGTCACTGGAAAAGCTAAGGTTTCTTCCTCTCTCTTCATAAAGTCTCCTGAGCCTTATGCATTGTCTTCCTGCCTTAACAAGTCCTCAATTTTCCTTCTCCCATTGCACCCAAATATACATCATTCCTGAGACCCCTCTGTCATAAAAAGGCCTCAGCGCAATGGGAGTAGATATGCTCAAAATAAATAAACAAACAAATAAATAAGTGTGTGTGTGTGTGTGTATGTATGTATGTATGTATGTATGTATGTATAAAGTTGTCAGAGAATAAAATTTTAAAGTAAAAGCCTAAGAATACTAGAAGAAAATAAAGGTAATCAGGCATCAGTCATGGCACACATCTTTAATCCTAACACTTGGGAGGCAGAGGCAAGTAGATCTATCTATATCATTTTGAGGCCAGCGTAGTCTACATGGCTAGTTCTAGGCCAAGATAAGGCCTTGTCTCAAAAAGAACAAGCAAACAAAAAAAGAAGGTGGGGGTGCCAGATAAAAATACTGTAGCCAAGTAGACTTGGATGGAAAACAAGATTAGAACAGGAACAGGTTAGATGGACATTATAAAAATTTACAACTATATAACAATATATCCTCCAATAGACTGACAGGTAAGTTGAAGAAAATGCTGGCAAAATATAGCTTTCATATATGCAAGTCTTAAAATCAATTTATAAAGATGTAAAAACACAAGAATACAATGCAATTCAAGCCCCAGCCAAGGTCCCCCAATAACCTCTGGGAACCTGTTCCTCTGAAGAGCACTGTAGAGATGAGGCAAGGACAAGCAACCAGCCCACATCTGCTCCCATGCACCCTGTATTTCTAGATGGGGTGCCGATGCCTACAGTTCTTACCAAGGGTTTCCACTGGCTTGTTTTTCCAATAACAATCTTTTCTCATCTTCTGAAAACTGTAAGTCTAGTTCAAATGAGTTAGTGTCCAAATCATGGATGTACTGCTCTATGTTGCTGCCCGACCTCTGGGGCAGGCTGGTATCCACCGCAGACAGCGAGTGGGAAGAGGAGGAGGATGACACCTGCATGCAGCCAAACTGACTCAGGAGATTGTCATACTGCAAGGGAAAAGGAAAGGAGAGACGTACCTTAATTTGTCTGTAAGGTCAAAGACTGCCTCCCACATTGCCTGGCCCCCACAGCCGCTCACAACCTGGTAAGCTTACATACTCACTTCAAATAGATAGACAGAGTTTCTTCCAATGACCATTTGGTCACTAAACCAAAGCAAGGCTAGACCTTCCTGCTATAAGTTCCTCTTCTGATAGAAACAGAGGTCAAAGAGGGGCTACACTACATCCTTTATCTCCAGGGAGAAAGAACCTGGGACCCTTACCCAGCACAGCACCCCAAGGCAGGAACCTCTAGAGCAGCTACCCTCTGACAAGGAATTCAACGCTTGGGCAAACTTCTCTTTTAGAGTTGGGATCTTAAGTTTCAGAGCCACTGCATAGTCTGATTTAGCTTATATTTGTTTTATTTTTTAAAATATTCTTTAATCTCAGCAATGATTCTAGGGGAAAAAAAAAAAAAACACAAGCAGAATGGGCAGCTCACATTCTAGCACACTCCCAGGCAATGACAGGGTCAAAGATCTTTGAGCATAGGTGGGAGGCAGTTACGTTGGCTGCAGGCCTCATACCCCTGAGTCCTGCCTTCCATATCCTGAATTTCCAGAAAGAGAGTCCTGTCTACTACACTCCACAGAGGTCAGTCCCTACCCTCTGCAGAGTCTATAGTCCTATGCCCACCTTCTCACTGTTGCCCAGTGGCACTTTGCAGAATTGATGCCTGCATAGCCTCCAGCAGTAATAGCTCCATCTTGCTGACTCCACATTCATACCCTAGCGCTGTCCCCACTTCCTTCCTGGAGGGTCCCCAGTAAGAGAAATCATGTCCCTGCATCAATTTACAAAAATTACTGCCATGCTTCTACTGGGACGAGGGGTGTCCCTACAAAATCTTTCAGAGCCAATAAAGTGGCTTCAATTTCTAACACAGAAACTGAAGCTCAGAGTCAAACTCCTCTGGCCAACACTGAATTTAAAAGCAGCACAAAGCTGCTGCTCCACATCACTGAGCTTCTCCATCCATGAAAAAGGAATACCTGCAGAGCAGACTTCCTCTGTCGCAGCGTTCTCTAAGCCCAGTCTGTCTAAAGGTGAACTCCCACACAGGAAACTCTGTCTAGGTGCTTACAAAGCCCTTAAGACATACCAGAAGAGCTAAGCAGCCACGCAACAAAACCAAGTTGCTGCCACTCAGAGCCAGATTATACAGGTAGAAGTCAAAGCTCCCCATAAAAAAGCCCTGTCCTCAACAATGCAGAGCAGGCCCTCAAAGATGCTTAGGTGAATATGCATGTAAAGTATACATGAAGAAATGCTCCTGGCTGCTAAGATAGACGATAATGGAGTCGATTCAGCCCTTTCAAAGATCAGCTGCCTTTGGGAGTGAAAGGAAGGGACAGAAACCATAAGGTGAAGGACTGCCTACCATTCCTGGTTAACTCCTGCAGAAATGAGAGTTCCAATAAAGAGGACACCAAGGTTTCCACCAGCACCCTCTGACATGACCCAAAAGGACACCACTCATGAGCATTTAGTAGGCAAGTGGGGCAGGGGCAGGAACTCCTGGCTCAGGGCCTTTCTCTGCAGTGAACACATGCAGAAACTGGCCACTGGCCACATAGATGCACTTGAGTTTCATTCCCTACAAGTCTGGGCACAAAGAACATTTTAGGAGAAAATGGGGATTGCCAAACAGCAAGTAAAACACAGATAATTCCTTGATCTCTAAGAGGCAAAAACAGCAATACTTCTTTAGAAGTATTTAGAAGATCCTCTTTTGTTTGGGTTTTTTTGTTTGTATGTATATCTTGTTCTGAGACAGTGCCTAATTTGTAGCCAGACTGACCATGACCTTTCAATCTTTCTACTTATTATTTTATGTATATGGAACTTTTGCTTGTGTGTGTGTGTGTGTGTGTGTGTGTGTGTGTGTACACGCACGATCACACAATGTGTGTACTTAATGTTCCCAGAGGCCAGAAAAGACGTCAGATTCCCTGGACATGGAATTACAGACAGTTGTGAGCCAATATGTGGGTGCTGAGAATCGAACTCACAACCTATGGAAGGACAGAAAGTCATCTTAACCACTGAGTCATCTCTCCAGCCACAACTTTCAATCTTCTTGCCTCAGCTTACTGAATGCTGAGAACGAACACACACACACACACACACACACACACACACACACACAAAAAAAAAAAAAAAAAAGCCTGGCTGTTTTGGAAGGCTTTCAGGTAAATGTCAGAATTGCTCAGTCAGTTAAACAGAACTCCATGGATGGCAACTGGTTAGAATAAGTCCAGAAAACAGAAATCAAATGAGAAAAAAATGAGTTGAATCAATGAACTATTAAAAGAAAAATTAAATATGGAGATCACAATGGGAGCAGAGTCTGGGTAAGACTGAAATCATGGGTGCTAGAGAGATGGCTCATAGGTTAAGAGCACTGGCTGCTCTTCCAGAAGTCTTGAGTTCAATTCCCAGCAACCACATGGTGGCTCACCATCACCTGTAATGAGATTTGGTGCCCTCTTCTGGCCTGCAGGCATACATGCAAACCGAACACTGTACACATAATAAATAAATAAATAAATAAATAAATAAATAAATAAATAAATATTTAAGAAAAACAAGACTGAAATTGTGGAGGAACACTGTTGCTTCTTATTTCTGTCTCTTTTGCTGGTGTTTCCCATTTTTCAGTGTAGAAAGTTTTAAAACTAAAGTTTATTCAAGGTCTCATATATGTCTATTGTCAATTCTTCAGAGACAAGCTGCTTTGAAGCCAGTGACAGCAATTGCACACAAACCCCAAGGGGCAGCACCCCTGAAACACAGTATGCACCTATTGCTGAGCATCAAGCTACAGGGACTGGAGTCTACCCTCCTACACCACATCCCCGGAAATTCAAGTCAGTAGCATTCTGGGTTCTCTTGAAAAAAATAAGCATTTCAGAACATTAAAAAAAAAAAAAAATCAGAAAGGCTCTGAGCCAAAAGCTGCCAATGATGAGCTTCCTGGGCCCCAGTGTCAGGGGGTGAGGGATTAGGGCAGGACACTGGTCTCTCATGCACAGGTCCAGACCACATCCTGACCTCCCTCCCATCCATATCCCCCAAACAGGTAAAAGTTCATCAGCTGAGGGAATAAGAACAGGAACCAGAAATAAGAACACCTACACAAGGTGTGTTGGTCATTTACTTAGAGCAAAGTATTAAACCACCACCAAGTCCACCATGTTCACTCATACATTTTAACCAGTAATCACATAAATTAGAGTCCCAAGGAATCATACTTATACAGCATGGCAAGCAGATTTCTCTTTGCCTGAACTAGTCCCCATGAGTGCCTGCTTACGTTGCCATAGCAGTCTTCATCATCCTCTGACATGGCTGGCAAGTAAGCTGTGAGCTTCGGAGGTGTCTGCTGGTGCAGATTCTCCCATGTGATGGATTCAAAGAATGGATGAGCTTTGAGAGGCTCGTACCCTTCCATCTCTTCACAGCCTAAACGCTTTGTGGCATCTAAAACCTTAAATGATAGCCAAGACATGTCACTGTCAGGGTTAAAATGTTAAGTATTTGTTTATTTATTTTGTGCAAGTGTCAAGCCCTGAGACCTTTTGGAAAGAGTAGGGACACTGTGGTCCATACCCCGGCCTGCCTATGCTGTAGTAGAAAAAGCCAAGATTGACCAGGACTCTTACCCTCAACCCAAGACTCTGCCCTTTTCTTTCCACAGGTAAAACAAATCTCAACCTCAAAAGACAGAGGGTGGCAGCAAGCATCTTTTTAAAGCATGCAACTAAAAGTGTTATAAAATGATATGAGCCCTGGTAGGCTGACCACACACCAGGGCAGGCCTCACTCCCAAGACTATCTGGGCAGCACAAACTAGACTTGAAGAAATTCCAAAGCTAGAAAGGGGTGGGAAGATAATAATGGAAGATGTTGGGGAGTGTTTATGTCAAAAACACAATTTCTGAAATTTTCAAAGAGTAAAAATATTGTTTAAAAAAAGAGAGAGAAAGAAAGAAATGCTTACTATTGAAAACAAAAATGCTGCCAGGTGGGTGCACTTGGGAGGCAGAGGCAGGTGGATCTCTGTGAGATAAGGTCAACCTGGTCTACAAAGCAAGTTATAGGACAGCCAAAGCTATTTGCACAGAGAAACCCTGTCTGGGGAAAAAAAAAAAAAAGACAAACAAAAACATAAAAAAAAAAGAGAGAGAGAACACAAAAATAAGAAATGCTAAAAAAATAAATAAATAAAAATAAAAAAGAAAGAAAAGAAATGCTAACTAAAAAAGCCAAGTATGGCATGGCGATGTATAACTATAAGCCTAGCACTCAAGTTGAGCAGGAGGGCTGTCAAGTATTTTAGGATAACTTGGGCCAAACAGCAAGACTCTGTCTCAGAAATAAATAAATGCAAAACTTCTAACACAAGGGGAAAAAATGAACTGACTGCCTCTAAGAACAAAGAAAATGAACAATGAGGCTCTTACTGAGTATAATATCATACCTCTTAAAGGCTGTGGCACAGTCACTCCTATGCCTGCAAAGTTGAATTAAGCCCACTCCGTAATGAGGGAAATGAAGGAAAGAGACCAGAAGAATAGCTGGGAAGAGCCAAACCTGGGCCTACCCATAAATATAGGACCTGGCACTGATTCCCAAAGAAATAGGAAGAAAGGAGATCAGGCTACAAAGCAAAAGGGCTGAGACCCCCAGTTTTTGAACATAAAATGGCACCTCTTTCTCTGGTTCTCTCTGCCTTGTTACTTAGGTTGATCTTTAAAGTCTTCATGTAATTTACACTCTAAAGGTGATATTGGCAGATGTCACTGAAGCAGGATTTACAGCCATCTGCCACTGGAATAAACCCAGTCACTCAGTGGCAATCACTTAAAATGTGACATGATGTTAATGAACACACACGAAATAATAAAGTAACTTCCTCTCTTATTAAAGTCAAGAAATAGGTACTGAGATAAAAATACTTATCTATAATTACTGTCTATCTTAAACACATTTTTCAAAAGGATGGCCATGAGTGTGACAGAAGTCAGAAGGTAGCTATGATGATTCCTTACCACAGAAAATTTAAAATACTTACCAAGAGTTTTTCCACAAGATCTCTTGCCTTAGGAAAGAATTTCTCTGGGAAATCATATTCCAGTTTAATGATCTTCTGAAATATAAGATATTCATTTCTGTGAATTAAAAAAATTGCTGTTATTTGGGCAAGGGTTTTTCAAATCTCTAATACTAGGTACACTTTTACAGAACATCCCAATGTCACCCTCACCTTCCAGGCCAGATCTTACTAAAGTCCCCAGGCACCACATATTCTTAAGTTATGGTGGAAGTTCCTCCCCACTGGGCACAACCTTTGTCCAGACCTCCCAGCAGCTGTTGGCAATGGAGTATGCGGTGATAGGCTCAGAAGCCTAAGATGTACAGAATCCCTCTTACCCGGCTCTGAACGGTGGGAGTCCTGCCACAAGCTGATAGATTATACATCCAAGAGCCCAAAGGTCTGAACTTTAAGAGAGGGAAAACACAAAGAAAAATGGGATTGGTATAATTTAAATGATAAAAAAGGTTCACTTTGCAGTCTCTTGTCTGTACCACTCTACCTTCAGTCTCTAATGTATTCCTATCGCTTAAGACAAGGTTATGTGGGAAGTTTGAATTTGCTTTTCTAAGCATCTCCCTGTGACCTGAGTCAAATGGTACTATACTAGGCAGGAACACTACCAAGTGGTTCAGCTCCCCTGAAGATGTCTATTGAGGGCTAACAACTTCTACATGTCCTTGTCTCATTCTGAGGAGAACATAGTTCATTGCCAACATCATGCTATACCAGGATGCTGCATATCAGGTAAGGTGGGAGTTGAAGAATGCTAACCAGTATTAACAACTTTAGGAGGTCTGAGGGAGAATCTCCTAGTTCTAGGGAGTGGGGCTGGAGAAAAGTTTTGTCCCTGTAGGGTGATACTGCTATAACTAATTCAAATGCTCTCTGGGCATGACTTTGGCTCACCTCAGAAAAGATTCAAAAGCTGGATACATGTGGGGCTCAAAAGGACCTTCCCAGGATGTACACTGTCTTTCCCTTTTTGAACTCTATCAAGAAAGTCCTGCCCCTCTTTTAAAAACATTTAGACTATCCATTTTACTTGTAATTATTTTTTTTTATTGAGATAAGAGTCACTGTGCTGCTCAAGCTGACCCTAAATTCACAAGATTCTCAATCCATCCTCCTGTCTCAGCCTTACATGTGTATCATTCTGAATGTCTGTAAGTAGTTTCTATAATGTAGCTAGATATCCTAGGTGCCCAGCTATCAGGAATCCTGAGGTTAGCCCCTTTCCTGTCACAACACTCTCCTGGCACATCTGGCTTTTCTGTGATCTCTTGGGTCACTGAGATGTCAGGATACACCTGATTTTGCCTTCCATTTCCAGCTGTCCCCAAGTACGAGGTGTATGCAGATTTTGTGGGATGCCAGCAATAATTTGTCATCATAGGATATAGCAACCACCACTCAAGACAACAGTGTAGCCACAGAGGCAAATGTTACAGCCAAGCTCTGTCTTTGCTCTGATGTCACCAGCACTTGCAGGCCAGGGACAGGTAGATTAAGGCACCAAGACTAAGCATAATTCTAAAAATTAGAAATCAGAGTTAAAGATTTGGCAGTGTGATGAAATAAAAAATATTTTACATATAATGTAGCGACTTTGGGGATTTGTTTGCATTTAGTTTTTGAGACAACTGTCTTATGCAGCCCAGGATGGCTAGAGCTATCTCTAGAGCCAAAGAGTGACTTTAACTCCTCCTGATTGGTCTACTTCTACTTACTGGTACAAGTAAGAGGCATGTTATCATGCCTACCTCAGAATTTTTAATGTATTTTATTTTCTGTGTATAAGTGTTTGGTATGTATGTATGTATGTATGTATGTATGTATGTATGTATGTATGTGCACTATGTATATGCAGTGCCCTCAGAGGCCAGAAGAGGGCTTCCTACCCCTTGTGACTGGAGTTACAAATGGTTGTGAGCCACCATGTAGGTGCTAAGAATTGAACATGGGCCTTCTGGTAGAACAATTAGTACTCTTAACCACTGAGCCATCTCTCCAACACCTAGCTTACTATTTTATACACCTGATTTTCTTCAGTGCTTTGTCTAGGTAAAATAGAGAGTGAAACAAAAAAACAAACAAACAAACAAAAAAATCAAGTAGTAAAGTAGCTATATAGAAGCAGGAGAAGGGCCACGGTAAGGTTAAAGCACCCTGGCCTCTCAGGTCCCCTCTAGAATGTGGGAACTCAAGCAGTAAGGGCTTAGGTAGCTTCTTCTCTATGAACTATCTCAGCATTCTGTCATCTGTATTTTGGCTCTGGAAGCAGCATATCAAGGCAAGTCTTGAAACCTTGAAGCAGGAACTCCAGAGCCCCAGCTCTGTTCTGTTTTATCAGAGGGATGAGAAGGTAACCCTAAGGCTAAGCACCTGTATCATCTCCAGGGCACACATAGGCAAATCAGCACCATCCATGGAACAGAATAGGTCAATAAATTATGATACTCTCATGCAACAGAAAAAATGCCAGCTGGAAAAGATGTATGCAAATACTTTTAATGAATCAGGCTATTGATTGCCATGAAAACAAGAGAACTCATACTGGATATATAGTATGACTGTGTGAAAATTTCAAACATTCATAAATGCACTAAAAATAACAAAAAAATACAAACTATCTGGGAACATACATATAGAGTGATGGCTCCCTCAAAACACTGTTCTGATTTCACAATTTCCTTCACTCACATTTTATAGATCTTGGAGAACATGAACCACAAAGAGCAAACATGTATGTACATCCTCCCTGCATGCTGACAGTTCATGTGGCTCACCATACTAGGAAGAGTTGACAATAAGAAAAGCCTTGTCCTTCAGCAACAATATATAGTGGAAAACTGGAAAATAACATCCATCATTTGGCACTGCTAACACTGGCCAGGTCATCTTCTTCACATTAAAGCATGCTAAGTGACATCCCTCACCTTCATCCATTATAGGCTAACACACCCCACCCCAAACTGCAACAGTAAAAAGCTTCAGTGACTAGAGAGATGGCTCAGCAGTTAAGAGCACTTGCTACTCTTACAGAGGACCCAGGTTCAGTTCTCAGTACCCACAATGGCAACTCACAACTGTAATTTCAATTTGAGGGGCTCTGATGCCTTCTCTGCATGTGGTAAACATACATACACAGACGCAAATACTTATACACACTAAAAAACAAAACAACCCAAAAGACCTAGAACAATGTCTGGCCCAAGGTAAGAACTCAAATTCTGATGCCATTGTTTTTCCCCCTGGGCACACGCCCAGATTTTCCAAATCTGTCAATCTCAGAGCTACCTAACCAGATTCCCACATTCATTTACACAGGTGACACCCTTGCAAACTTCTAGAGCAGGATATCTATGTTCAGAACTCACAAGAGGCCAGACATCTGGGGCTAAACCAGATGCAAAGTAGTTTTGCTTAAGACAAGAAGCACCCAGCCACATCTTCAAAGAACAGACCCTGTCTCCTGGACCTGCTCTTCAAACCTTAAATCCATATCCTAGCTGGGTGGTGGCGCATGCCTTAAATCCCAGTACTTGGGAGTCAGAGGCAGGCAGATTTCTGTGAATTTGAGACCAGCCTGGTCTACAAGAGCTAGTTCTAGGACAGCCTCCAAAGCCACAGAGAAACCCTGCCTTGAAAAAATAAAAATAAAAATCCATATCCTAATATGGCTCCTCAGTCTCTAAAGACAGTGCCTTTAGGGTGGCATGGCCTCAGGCTATTGTCTTCCTCCAGAAAGGCCCTTCTTTACTCTCTAACCTCAGATCTTTAAATGAATAAATTAGTAGATAAGTAAATGAATCTCTACCCCTTGGAGGCTGGAGAGATGGCTCAGTGGTTAAAAGCACTGATAGGTCTTCCAGAGGACCTGGGTTCCATTCCCAGAGCCTACATGGTGGTTTACAACCATCCATAACTGCAGTTCCAGGGTATCAGACATCATCCTCTTCTAGTCTCCAGGGATACCACACGCACATGGTGCACAGTCATACACGTAGACAAAATACTCACATACATTAAAACAAACAAAAAACACTAAAAACAACAACAAAAAACCCAAAAAACATGATATTTGTTACTGAGGCCACCACTAAGATCCAGCTGCCTCTCTCACACAACCTCAATGCTATAATCACTACCAAGCTAGAAATTTCTTCCCTCTGTCTCTCTAGGGCGTCTATCGACCTCCAAAGACCCCATGACACTACAATAGGCACAAGCTTGCTATAATCCTGTGGCATGACAGTCACACTTATCCATTTCTTTCCTAGATGAAGATGATCAGCTTTCTACCCAAAAAGCAACAACAAGCAAGGAATTATAAATTACAAAAGTAGAATGCACACATATCAAAGGAAAAGTACATGCTTTAAAAAATAAGCAGAAGACTAACTTCTATGGGTCTCATTATGTATCCCCCCCCCCCCCCCCCCCCACCCCCTATAGACTAAGATGGGCTTGAACTCAGAGATCTCCCTGCCTCTGACTCTTGAGTATTAGGATTAAAGGCATACAACAACATGCCCGACCATTTTTGTTTGTTTTGATGAAAGGTTTCACCATGTATCCCTGACTGGATTTGTACTCATGATTCTCCTAATTCATCCTTTGGGATGACAAGGGATGTATCACTGTACCAAGCTCATACTTAGCTACTTAAGACCTACTAAAATTTCTCTATCAAATAGTAATTCCTCATGACTAAACCTAGTAGATATCACAGAGAGAAGAGAAGGGCAGTTGTATTAAAAACAGGTTACCTCTTACACGCCGACTTCTCTGTGAGCAGCTCTGGAGAAACATACTGTGCTGTTCCTACAAATGAGTTGGCCCTGGCTAAGGAGTGAAGGGGGGAAAAAAAAGAAAAGGTCACACTTGAAAATGCAATTCCTGGCACCCAAGCACACTGGCCCTCTTATGTATTCTTCAGAGTGTCAACATCTAACTATAGTAGATGGGAGCTGGTGGTCAACTGAGTTGGTCACCTGGACTAGATTGAGCAATCAAAGGATACATGCTAGACCCCATCCACCTGGCACCTCCTAACACCCAAATGTAGGTACTCATGACATTCATCCATCATCTTGCCACTACAGCAAAGCAATGTAAGGACAGAGGTCCTGTCTGTGGTGCTCATTGCTGGACCTGTGGCACCTAAATACACACTAAACACACAGCAGGCACAAATAAACAGCTGCAGATCAGGGACCATCCTCTTTTAGTCACCACAGCTTGGGTATTCAAGATATTAGGGCAAAAAGACTTAGGCTTCCAGCCCAGAGACTGTCTACATTCCACTGCCTATAGTTCTGACCCATGAGACACACTCATCTGTAAGCTACAGTGTGGACACCAGATGCTCTGAACCCATATCAGGGGTCCACCTCCCATTCACTCCAGGCTCCTGAGGAGAATGAGAACTCAACTTCCATGGGGCAGATAGAGCTGGGCTACATTTTTATACTTTCAAAAGTGGCTACAGAGCAGTAAGGTTAGTCCTGAGCTGTATTATCAAATTATGAAGAAAATTTACACCAAAAAAGTGTCCAAAGCACAGCCCAGCTGAACAGCCCTTAAGATTGATTCAGGATCACAGCGACATCCTAGCTCCAGGTTTCAGGCAGGAAAAATCAGCACAGGCATGATGGGAAAACAGACAGACTCTCCCCACAAGAAAGAGTTAAGAGATGGGGTGGGTATTTGATTCAACTGTAATGCACCATGTGAACAGAACTTGTTTCATTACCTGAACTCTATTTCATCCCCAGCTGTAATCCTCTCTGGCTCCCATGTACTACTTACTGGCTTACTGTTTGTGGAAACAGGTCAGAAGCCTACTGCACTGTGCTCTTGCATGCTCTTTTCCAAAAAGTAGCCACAGCCATAAAAATCACATACTGCAAAGTGCTTATCAGACTCTTCCTTCCACTAACACAACTGTGCTCCAAGCCTGTGGCCAACCACATCCCATAGTCTTCCTTAACGATGGTCATTCCCTCTCTGGCTGAGATCCCAAGTATAGGCAAAAGGTCCATGTAGCTCAGAAGAATCATGTGCACTTCAGAATCAAGGTCATTTACTAATCTACCAGACAGCTTTCCCTCCCCCAGACAGCATCATCAGTAGGTTATTATCTCTCTACTCTGTGCTGTGGCAGAGTCCTCCAGAGTCCAATTATTCTTTTTTATATCCAGAGTGGCAGTTTCTATCCACTGAGGATGTCAGTGACAGAAGGGCAACAAGCAATCCCACTTTTCTGGTCCAAATGGACTCTCAGCAGCACTGCCCCGACAGTATAGGTGTCACAATGTGATCCAAGTCTATGTACTAACCCTGAACATAACCTGTAATAAATAGGCAAAATTAGCCCTTGCTCATAGAACTTTGCAGGAATCTCCCTGAGGATGCATGGGCCATCACAGACAGCTATATGCATCAGATGGGAAGACAGAAGGATGGGTGAGAGAAAGGCAATGGAGTCCAAGGATGTGCTCTCAAGACACCACCTGCAGGATATATAGATGCCACCAACTCTACCCCTCGTTCACAAGTACCCTATGTTCTATGGAGCAAGAACTAGCAGAGCTATTTTTGGTCCTTCCCTATTAATAGACTTCACACACTATGACACTATGAGAAGCCCAAAGAAATCTCTGTATTACTGATAATAACCACACAATGCAACATGTTGCTCAAAGCTGCTCTCAGCCTTAAGACCAGAACAAGGTTCTCCTGAAAAATCAAGGAAACATACCTTGTTTACTCTCTGGGGATAGCACTTTTGCTGTTCCAAAATCTGTAATCTGGATGTGCATGTCTTCATTTAACAAAATGTTTTCTGGTTTAAGGTCTCTGTAAAAGTAGAATTTTACCATTGAGATGAAATGCTTAAAAGTAGCAGCATTATCACATACTACACATTTGGATGGAAACACAGTAAGGTGATGAACCTTTTCCTTTACAGACCAAGAATATAAGCCCTGAGTTCACATCAAACAAGGGTCAACAGCATAGGATATGACATCTCAAAATCATTTTATAACTGTATCACTTTTATCTTTAAACAGTTGTTACAAACATTTAACACCTCTGACTTCTGATTCTTTCTGCTTCATCCACCACTTTTAGTAACATTTTATTTAACTTATTTTTTTTTAGTTCATAAAGCACATGACCAGAATTAAATAGATACAAATTACAACTGACAAAAAAAGCACCAGATATCTGATCTGCTTAGTGTCACAGGAAGACATATCATTCAAGTTGAACTGATGACCTAGACATGAGCTTTCAAAGTACAGGTTCCTTTCATTTCCAGCCTGTTTTCAGCTTTTTCAGTGAGCCATCACCTGGAAATACCTACATCATAACTTGTATAAAGCCAGCTAATGCTAACCTCAGAAAGCTGGTGTGGCCTCAGAGCCACTGCCCCTAATCATTACAGGGGCTATGATGTACATACCATCTGGAGCAGTGTCCATTACCTGTGAATGATGCCCTTGCCGTGCAAGTACTCTAAAGCAGACACAATCTCAGCCGTGTAAAACCGGGTACAGGTCTCATCAAATGAACCAATTTTGCGGATGTATTTGAGTAACTCTCCATTTTTGGCATAACTAAGCCCAAAATCTGAACATTTGTGGTTAAGGAAAAATATGTTTGTTTTCTAAAAATTAACCTTAAAAGCCCCACAATTGGTTTTCTAAAAATTAACCTTAAAAGCCCCACAATTGTTTTTTTTTTTTCTTTCTTTCTTTTTTTTAATCAAATGCATATTGAAGGTACCTATTCTCCAAGATAGTTCCCCTTTTTTGAGTCAGATCCAGGCCCCAGCTCCAAGACCAGGTGCCAGCACAGATTTTCTAAGACAATGACATAGTTCCTAAAAAAAAATGTACACCTTTCAGCCCTGGTGCCCTTCTAGATACATAGTCCTCAGAGGCCTCTGAAAGGAAGCCTCTAGGTGGCTGCTGGACTAACAGACCATGGCCACAGCACTAACAACACATGGACGCTTTAAAGTGCAGAACATAGTTCTGAGGACAGAGTCCTGACAAAACCCCAAGTGACTATCACTGTGACCCTTGTCTGACTTGCTGCATTCCATGTGCTGACAGTCCTGTGCATAAAAGTGACATGCTTTATAACAGTTTTAATTTTCTGATTCATTTGATCTATTTGAGAAATCACAGCTGGAGAGATGAGAAATACCCTCCCCTTGTAACCCCCATCACACACACCCACGCTTCAATATGTTCTGCTTATGCTTTTTTCTTCGAAGGGGACTGAACACTGACAAGAAACAGCTACTGATGACTGTTTTCCTCCAAAGCACTAAAGATTTGTGCTTTTTACTGGCAATCTGCAGGTACCACACCTCCCTGGCAGCCTGGGATACAGGGCCAGAATGCTGAGCAGCAGTTCTGAAGCCAAGATTGAAGTTCACACAGAAGCCAAGGTGGACTTCCTGCTTCATTCTGGCTTTTGCACTCCTGCCAACCACCAAGGAGCGAGCCTGGGGCTCTGTGGAAAAGAAACAAACCCAAAAGAGAAAGGACTACAACTAACGCTGGTAAAGCTGCTCCTGGCCAGGCCCATCTCTGACCACCTACCTATGCCTCTCAACCCTAACCCTAGCAGAGACCTTCAGGCCCCGCTGTATCCTGTCTGCTCCCTCAACAGGGAGGCAGATGCCATGTCTTGGCTAGTTTTATGTCAAATGACACAAGTCAGTCATCTGAGAAGAGAGAATCTCAATTAAAAAACTGCCTTCCTAAGATTTGCCTGTAAGACTGCAGGGCGTTTTCTTAATTGGTATGGGAAGGCCCAGCACATTGTGGGTGGTACCATCCCTGGAAAGGTAATCCTGGGGTGTACAATAAAGCAGGCTGAAAAAGCCATAGGGAGTAATCCAGTCAGCAGCACTCCTCCATGGCTTCTGCAACAGCTGTCTTGAGATTCCTGCCCTGATTTGCTACCCTGACTTCCCTCAGTGACATACTATGACGTAGAACTCTAAGCTGAAATAAAACCTTTTCTTCCCAAGTTGTTTGTAGTCAATGGTGTTTTTATTATATCAGCAGAAGCCCTAGGGCATGCCATGGAGTCACAAAGTCTAGCCTGACATACCATAGGCTTGCAGCAGGGCCTCACCAGTTAGGAGCTCAGGTATAAGGCCACAGCCATGGAATCAAGGGAACAGGGAGTAACTTCTCTTTCTGGCTTCATTGTTTTACCCTTTATCTGACCCTTCACTGGTTCCTGGTTCCTCTGAGAGAGATACCTGTGGGTCTCTGCTCAGGAGGGAAGCAGAGGCAAGTTGTCTTAAACATAGCAGGTGCCTGGGAGGGATTATTTCTCAGGCTGCTGGTTCTCTGCAATCATATCTTTCCCTATTCCAAAATGTTCTTTTAGATTTCATCAATCTAGTATGCATCCTAAGAACATCCTCCACCCCCTTGGCCATAGTCAGTGCTCCAGGGAAGCAAAAGCTGTCACAGACTAGGTAAGTCCCTGGGAGGGTAGGCACAAACCAACTGCCTTAACATAGCCTAAGAATCCAGTGTGTGCAATCTAGAAGAGAATAAGCAACTGACTCAAGTTCACAATGGACAGGACTAGAACCCAGTTCCGTAGTCCTGACTCCATGCTGCAAATGAGGCATCATGAGGACAAGCAAGTGCAGACTGCTCTGGTGGGAGTTTAAAGATGATGGATGGGGTAGAAAGCACCTATGTCTGAGAACTCTTTGGTCTTCATCTGTGTGTAAAAAGGTTGCACCACTGGCTCTGACCTAGCCAAGACTACACCAAGACAGGGAAAACATTATGTCTGACCAAGCCCCGGAACTCACTTTCCCAGGTCCCTATATTAAATCTGATGAAGAGCCCTCAACAGTCCCTGTGTGATCCATCTGTCTGTTTTCAGTCTATGGCAGAGGTATCCCCAGCCTCTGCCTCATCTTACCTGTCCTGAATGGGTGTGGGTTCATTCTGTTTCTCTTGAAGGTAATGAAAAGTAAATACACAAGGACTAGTCTCTCTCCTACACTTGAAACTATGACTAAATAAAGGACAGTGTCATATCTGGGCATTTCTTCATGCAAAAAGTTTCATTTTTCTTTCTCAATGCAATGTATAGTGAGGATTCCCAGTGAGGCAAAAGCCACTGGATCTCATTCTCATGGGAGGTAGGTGAGCCATTAAGACCTTCTGGATCTTAGACCAAGAACAGTATGTGCCATTAAACAAAGACCTAGAGTTCTTTCCACCTGAACTGACATGGCCAGTCTCATTTAGAAATCACATAGTAAGGACACTCTGGTCTGGCTTCTGAGCTATGATTCTACCACTGTGACCCTGACAGAAGATGAAGTCAAGCATGTGTAATTCTGTCTTGGCTATCCACAGTCTTGATACAATCTGGTGTCTCCTCGAGGGTGCATGTGACTAGAGGCTTGGTCTCCAGGTGGTAGGACTATGGGGTCAGGGGATCTTTAAGCAGCAGCATGTCTTTGGATCACTGGGCTCCTGAGACTCACTAGTAATTGGAAATTCTTCAAAGAGTGTCATAGCCGGGAGGTGGTGGTATATACCTTTAACCCTGGCAACACAAAGAAACCCTGTCCCCAAAATTTAAGTAAATAAATAATTAATTTTAAGAGGGGGGGATTTCCATGAAAGTAGTAAGTCCAACTACACCTACGTACTCTGCCTCCTGCCTTAAATGATCCTTCCTTCATACATGATCCACCATCTACTATATACCATAAGACTACAGCACCATGCACGCCATTTGGACACTCAGCCTTCTGTGACCTGTGAACTAAACAAATCTCTTCCCTTTAAAGAACTAGCTGCCCCAGACATTTTGTTGCAGTGACACAAAGCTGACTAGTAACAGAGCTTCAAGTCCAACAAAAAGCACTGTGCTAAGGACTGGCAGAAAAGCTCAGGCCTGAGCCTGGACTTCCATGGACTCAAAAGGGGGTACTTTCATGCACAGGGAACATGAAAGTGGAATTAAGGTAGGTTCAGAGAGATATGTAATGAAATATAAAGAGGCCACTGATGACTGTGGGGGACAAGGGATGATAGTGGGAAACAGTAAGCTCTACTTACTCTAAAGACCACCATCATCAACACATTTGTTCTCCTGGAACCTACTGGACCTTCCTATTTAAAAAATAGGAGCTGGAGAGATGGCTCAGTGGTTAAGAACTAGCTGGTCTTCCAGGGGTCCTGAGTTCAATTTCCAGCAACCACGTGGTGGCTCATAACCATCTATAATGAGATCTGGTACCCTCTTCTGGCCTGCAGGCATACATGCAGACAGAACACTGCAAGCATAATAAAATAAATAAATGTTTTTTAAAAATAAAATAAACAAGCCCTCCGGGAAAAGCCCATTTGGTCTGTCTCTACTGACTGCCTCACCTCTGTCATAAACTTTGGCCCCAGGGAAACTGCCGGTCCAACTCTCAACAACTTGTTCATGGGCTAATCCTCTGGCCAGGGACAGGCCACTTACTAGGTTGCCAGGCTGGGCAACTAGGCAGCCCCTCATCAGAAACTATGTGATCTGTGGCCTCTGATCTCCAGGCTCCCAGAGTCTTCTGAGTGCTGGTCAACTGGCTGACAACTCTTATCTGCACATCACCTCCCCGAAGGCTTTGCTAGCAGCCACCCACTGGCTCACTGAGACCTCAGACAAGCACCAGCACATACACCAAATGACACCCTATTCCCATCTAGCCACTGCCCAGTCTCTCCAGGCTCAGTAACAGATGACAGTGTAGACCAGGCTCTGAAGGCAAACACTAGTAGACATCTAACTTTTCTTTCCCCAAGTCTGGACCACAGGCACCAGAATTAGAGCAAACTCCATACCCCTCACTAAGAGAAAATCCAGAATTGGTAGCAGAACTTCACAGCTCAGAAACCTGGCCCACTGAGGAACCCACATGCTTCTGCCTTCATACATCTACAAGGCTCAAAGACCCACACACTCCAGACACCAACACCTGTCCTTCCAACTTATCCTACTACCTGAACATCTGTAACAGTTTTTAATACAAGCTCTCCCAAAGCATAACCAATCCCATGAAGAAGGTAGAGCCTTCCCTTACAGCATTTTGCCCCTCTCCCCGTAAATAAGCTCTAAATGGAGGGGGAGAGCACAAGCAGATGCATCTAGCAGAAGAAGCCAGGGATGTCATTAAAAGTGGAAGCAGATGGAGGGTGTGGTGGTGCATGCTTTTAGTCCAGCACTAAGAAGGCAGAGGCAAAGAGATCTTGGTGGGCTCGAGGGCAATCTTATCTACATAGTGAGTCCCAAGACAGCCAGCAAATGCTATGCAGAGAAACCTTGTCTCGAAATAATAAATAAGTAAATAAAACACAGGAAAAAGAGGAATGTGGGCAGCAACAATGGACATACATGCAAGTGAATCTGCTAGAAAGGCAATTTAAACAGCCCTAAGGAGTTGGAGGGGCTGAGCAAGACCAGCAGTAGACAGAGCTACAAAAGGATAGCACTCTGGGTTCCTGAACTTCTCAAATGCCCAGTCAGGTTGTTCTTCTGACCAAACTCAGTACCTTAGGACAGAAGAAGGTATGGAGAAGTTGATACCAACTCTAGAAACTTGAGGAAGCTCAAAATCATTTTTTCTCTCAAGCCCTCACTTTTCAAAAACAGGAGTCAATAATACCTAACAGACATTCCAAAACATTTGCTAGAGAAATGAGGGGACATTTCTGCATCAATGTCCAGCAATCACAGCTAAAACAAGACTCCATTAGATACATTATTTATCGATAAACACCAACACTGTGGGATGGTTTCCCCTTCGGAGAGGGCACACTGGCAAGAGCCTCAGTCATGTGCTGGTACTGTCTGTTGCCTCCAAGGATATCAGTCCCCATGGGGAATCCATGCTGTGCCCTTTCAAGGAACAAACAATGTAGTCACTAATCTAAAACACAAGGTAGTTTTCAGACAGCACTGACCATGCAAAGGATACACAACTTTTCGTCGTCTTGAAATGTAAAGTAAAGTTTCACAAAGAATGGGTGATCCAGGCGTGACATCACATCTCTCTCTCTAGTTACATACGGGACTTTGTTCTCTTTTATAATATGACGTTTCTCCAGAATTTTAACTTAGAAAATGTGAAAAACAGTAAATTTATAAAAGTAACTGACATAAACTGAAGCTTTCCCAAAATCACCCACTCAAGCTTTCATGGTCTAGAAGACTAACCTTTATCATAGACTGAAATCAGCATAGGCCCTACCACTACCCACACTGCCTGCCATATGTACAAAAGTGGCACTACCCCTGAATCCTAGACACACAGCTCACTGGAGTTAGTACTTACTAGCGTATTCTCTGGAAGTAGCCAGTTCTCGGGCCAGAACAACCTGGTTTGGGGAAAGAAAAAAAACACAGTGTAATAATGAGATGAGTCTAGTAAGTCACTGTCACTCTGCACAGGTTGCCCAATCCATACACACAATTTGAAGTTACATTTAAAGTTACATTGGATCCTATACTAACAAACATATCAAAAAGTCACTGCTTGTGTTAATATGGTCTAATAGTTAACAGCAACATGGTAACAAACATTAAATGATAAACAGTAATTGTGCCATCATTTTCAAAAGTTCATAATTGGTTAGCTACCAGAAGTTCTTAAAGTATAGTCAAAGTATAAATTTAAGAACCAATAGTGCACACCGATAATCTTAATACTCGGAAGTCAGAGGCAGGAGGATTCCAAGCTCCAGGCAACTCTGTTACACTGTAAGAGCCTGTCTCAACACACCCTATCACAAACAAAAAAGAATTTTATTGACGGACAAGTCCAAATATCACCACAGTGGGTACTGGAAATTTCTTCAGAAAAATAACTTCAAGAATATGTCTTGCCAGGTGGTAGTGGCACACGCCTTTAATCCCAGCACTTAGAAGGCAGTGGCAGGTGGAGCTCTTGAGTTTGAGGCCAGCCTGGTCTACAGAGAGAGTTCCAAGACAGCCAGGGCTACACAGAGAAACCCTGTCTTAAAAAAACAAAACAAAACAATGAAAGAGAGGCAGGCAGGCAGGGAGGGAGAGAGGAGAGAGACAGACAGACTAAAAAAGAAAGGAAAAGGGAGAGAGAGAGAGAGAGAGAGAGAGAGAGAGAGAGAGAGAGAGAGAGAATGACTTCCCAATATAGATCCTGGTAAAAAGCTGCCCTTGACTTAGGCTACTCCAAATAATTGCTGTCATATATTTCATATTTCATTTAATGGCATGAACATAGTTATGGCTGTACTGTGTACCAAGAACTAAAACAGCACAGAACAAACCATCTTAACAGAATGTTCTCTACACAGAGCACACCTCTGTCTGTGAGACTCTGCTTCAGGGATACAGTACCAACAAACCCTGGGCACACCTGAGGCATCAGACTGAAAGGAGCCAACAGGCCCAAGGTTTAGCCAGAACTTCAAGGGGCAGCTTTGCCCCAAAATGGCTGATAAATGCAAATGAGTGGGGGGTTTTTTGTTTGTTTGTTTTGTTTTTTAGATACCTGAAATGATAGGCTGAGAATCAAAGAGCAAATAAAACATGCCCCAAGAATCACTGGGCCTGGTGGAAAAACCTTTAGAAGGCCACAGGGCAAGGTCACCTGGCTCCTAGTTGTTAGTCGTATCCTGTGACAGAAATCCCTAAACACAGTCCTGGAAAAGCACTATGAGATGCCCACAGCCACCAGGAAGAACAAGGTAGAATTGAATGTATTTAAGTAGAAAGATCTCAAAGAACTTTCTGAGGGAACATGAGATATATATATATATATATATATATATATATGAATGACTCACAGCCACTAGGGTGAGAGGAGCAGGCTAGAGTAGTGTATCCCCCTTGGGAATGGAGACTAAATAGATATTCACATTCCTTCATGAGCATGCATGCTTAGCTTCTTATGTATGAACAGGAAAGAGGAGCTGCTGGAAGAGTACTTTGGTTTATTGGAATCCTTTCTGAGGAGGGAGTTCTTTATTTGTCTGTTTACTGGGGTTGGGGGGGGGCACTAGGTTTCATTATGTATCCTTGGCTGGCTTGAAGCTCACTGTGTAGACCAGACTGGCCTTGAACTCATAGAGATCCACCTGTTTTAGCCTGCTGAGTGCTAGGATTAAGGGCATATGCCATCATGCCCAGCTTGTGAGCTGATTTCTAAACTTAGCATTTCATAAGCAGGTTTCCCACAGAACAGAGAGAGTCTTCTAGAGAACTGCAAGGGACATGTTGCTCCATGTCACCAGGGGTGATGTCATTACTATCTTGGATGTGACATGTACTTTAGGGCCTTTCTGCTCTCTAGCTCCAGTTTCAGGTTCTGCCAAGTGAATATCCTGCTCAATCTGGTTAACTGTATGCCCTTTATTCCTCCCCTGGAAATCTAATTTGAGTGCTCACTATTTCAAGAATAGAGCTGAATCAGTGTAACACCTCATTTGAGATCCAGAACTACGGATTTCAAAGAGCCAGGAAACAACTTCCCGCTTGCAGTGCTTTCCTGAGTACCTCATGGCATGAGTTCAAAATAGCACTGAATAACAAGGATGACTGCCATTTACATCCCTGTGAAGAAAAACATAAAGGAGTGAACTGAAAAAAGAGCTTCACTGGAACATCATCTGCAGCTGAGCTCAGTACCCAGGGATCTCAAAGCAGCTTCCTCTCCCTATAAGCCGTGGTGAGTTCCAGAGGCACAGGAACAACCTTCATGGTTGAAGGCTTTTTTTCATAAGGCCACAATCCTTCCATAGACAAAATTACTTCACCAGAGTTGCTACTTAAGATTTAAACCTTACAGTGTAGGAGCCAAAGTTAATTTAAAATGAAATGTTTAGAATATAAGTGTTCTTTGTATTTTAGAATCTTTCATAAATATAAAGAGAAAAAAAATTCAGCAAGTCATCCTGGCACTCATCTTTAATGTGTGCACTCAGGAAGCAGAGGCAGGCAAATCTCTCGGAATTCAGGCCAGCTTGATCCACATAAAAGTTCTGGGCTAGTTAGGGGTAGGTAATGAGACTTTGTCTCAAAAAAATAAAGACAAGAAGAGAAAACAAATTGCACATATGGATTCTTCATAAAGTCAGGTATAAGGAAGACTGGTTGTTTAGAAACGCTCTACAAGTTAGGTCCCTCTGCAACTACCCTGGAATGTCTATTTCAGATTGGAGATGGAACATAGAAATCTGTTTCACTGGCAGCTATTTGGAAGTGAGAGTGACCCGTGGACCACTCTGCAGAAATACCCACTCGGCCTGGAAGTTACAAAAAACCCTGGAGGTCAACAACTTAGTGTCATAGTTTAGTCCTAAAACAAACAGGCATTTAAAAAGGTCACTGAATGTTACAGAAAGTCTCCAAAAAAAAAAAAAAAAATACTAACGCTTGCCTGCTGATGGTGGCACTGCCTTTAATCCCAGCACTCAGGAAGCAGAGACAGGCGGATCTCTGTGAGTTTAAGGCCAACCTGGTCTACAAAGTGAGTTCCAGGACATCCAGGGCTGTTACACAGAGAAACCCTGTCTCAACAAACAAACAAAACAAACAAACAAATGATACTAGCTTTCAACCTAAGTAACTAAAAGCTTCCTGTGGCCTGTCCAGTAAGACAGGACGATATAGAACATATATGCCCATGCTGCCTTAACTGTAGTTTTAAGGCAATATAAATCAATAGCTGCTTTTGTTTTTGAGACAGGCATTCAATATGTTACCAAGAGGCCTTAAACTTCCAGGTTTAAGCTCCTCAGCCTCCACCTCCTGAGTATATGGAGTAAAGGTATGAACCAAAACAGAAAAGAATCCAGTTTAACCATGCTTTCTTCAGGAGGTCTTCTGGAGAAGTCTACTCCCTCCAAGACTCTAGTGGTACTCACAGCAGAAGACAACCACAAGGGCATGAAACCACCTCCTGGGAGAACAATGTCTGACCAGGTGTTCTCAATAGTCAGTGATCCCAAGAGAACCCTGTGCTCAAAAAGCAACAGCAGTAGAGGCACATACTCACTGTGGAAAAAGAGCCCTCTCCAAGAATTTTCCCAAACTTGAAGTCTTCAGGCCGTTTCTTTCGAGGTTGTGGTGGCAGCTGGGCAGGGTGCTGCTGCAAGGGGTTGGTACTTGGTCGGGCTTCAGCTGTGGTGCCATCCATGGTGGGTCCCTGCCTGCTAACACCACTAGGAATGCCAGGGGCTGAGCTGGACTCAGTCTGGGACCTCACCATTGATGGTGACGGACAGGAACACAGCACCACACTGGACTGAATGGGAACAGCATCATACTGCAAACACAGAGGAAAGAGGTAAGTGTCAAGTAGCTCTCTTGTCCTGAGCACATGAGCCCAAGAGCAAGCACTTTATTATGGTACTGCTGAAGGCAGGACAGCACATCTATCTGACTCTGGGTGTCCACTGGAGCCAAAGTCCTTCCCTCCCTCTTCCTTGCTCACAACCAGGCATGTCCTCACATCTCCCTCAGCACTACTCCAACTATCTCCAAGGCTAAGGTAAGCAGACATAGTATTGTGCATCTGCAATTCTGGAGTATGTTTACTTTATACAGTCACCCAATACTGGCAAGACTTATGATGAAGCAAGAATACTCATACAATTATGGTTAGTGCCCAAAACTAGTGTTACTGTTAACATGCTTTTGGAAAGCAATTTGGCAATTGTTAACAAAATGATGATAGAACAGTCAATGAAACAGAAATATGAAAGATGAGAGGAAATCACACTTAGAAACATAAGCAAGGTGTGGTGGTGAACACCTGTAACCCTAGCATGCAGAAAAATCATGGCTTGCTTCGGGGCCAGCCTGGGCTAATAGCAAGATCATACACCCAAAAAAGAATGTGGGGCTAGGTGGTGGTGGCACATGCCTTTGATCCCAGCACTAGGGAGACGGAGGCAGGTGGGTCCCTGTTAGTTTGAGACCAGCCTGGTCTACAGAGCAAGTTCCAGGACAGGCTCCAAAGCTACAGAGTGAAACCCTGACTAGAAAAGCAAAAAGAAAACAACAACAAAAAAAGAGGTGGGGTAGGGGTGGGAAAGAGGTACACAGAGAAAGGAATTAAGTACTCATAGCTAAACTTGCAGTATGTAAAATTGTACCCACATCCATAAAGTCTTCTCTTCAGCTCTGCCCTTGGTATAGCCTCACAGTGGTGACACTATTCTGACTATAAAAGACAGGGAAGATATAGCTCAATCAGTAAACTACCTGATTTATAAGCATGGGACCTAAATTCAATCTGTAGAATTAAAACAAAAAAAATAAATGGGGACTGGGGCTATAGCTCAGTAGTACAGCAGGTATCTAGCATGCATAAGGTTCTGGGTTCAATAACTAGTACCCCTGCACCCCCCCCAAAAAAATCAACAAAAAGCAAAAACTGGTAATCCATCTTTAATCTCAGCACTGGGAAAGTGGAGATAAGCAATTGCTGGGGCACTAACTGTCCAGCCAGCTTAAGTCTAATTGTCAAGTCCCAGGCCAGTAAGACCCTGTTATTTAAAAAAAAAAAAAAAAAAAAAGTAAGAAAAATTTAAAAATAAAAGCTAAAAAACTAAAAGCTTGGGGCTGGAGAGATGGCTCAGTGGTTAAGAGCACCCACTGCTCTTCCAAAGGATCTGGGTTCAATCCCAGCACCCACATGGCAGCTCACAACTGTCTGTAACTCCACGATCTGACACCCTCACACATACATGCAGGCAATGCACATAAGGTAAAAAATAAAGAAAGAAAGAATTTAAAAAAAAAAAACAACTAAAAGCTAAAAAAAAAAAAAGGGTAGAGCTGGGCAGTGGTGATGCAAGCTTTTAATCCCAGTGCTGCAGAGGCAGGCAGATCTCTCTGAGTTTGAAGCCAGCCTGGACTAAAGAGAGAGTTACAAGGCAGTCAGGGCTGCACAGAGAGTCCCTGTCTCGAAGAAAACAAAAAGAGGGGAGGAGGAGAATAGACTGCATACTGTCCAAGTACATACACCACACACCCCCACCCAACCATCATAAAATGAACTCAGTATATCCCTGTTACTCAGGTGCTAGTCTCTAACAGCCCTCACTCAAGAACTCCAGCAAACTAATATAACCCAGTTCTAGAGTGCTTACCTGGCATGCATGAGGCCTTATGTTCAATTCCCAGCATTATCCAAAAGAAAATTTAAAAGTGCACAACTTTATGGAATCAGGTCCTGAAACCACCTGCCTGTTCTGATCACACATGACCCATTCAAAAACTGAAAGCTGTCTGTTCAGAAAGAATAAGCTGAACGTCAGAAAAAGCCATGAGTCCACAATGACACGAAGATAGGTTGGCTAAGTAGACTGAATGGATGTTAATTTCTATAAGCAATGCAGTATGTTGGTGTATGAGTTCATTAGGACAGAAAAGATGATTGCTTTCTAGATAAACAAGGAAGGAAAAAGGAAATACAGAACCATAAAGAACCAGGGCTCTGGAAACACAGTAGGACAGGTGGGCACACAGTAACCAAGAATGAGCAAAGGAAAGCTCAGCTACCAAGGGCTAAAGGAGATGCTCATCCTGAGATCACAAAAAGCGTAACAAATCTAGAAAGAACATCTTGTGACTTGAACATGATGAATACCAAGGTAGAGAAGAGAGCAGCAGATGATAACACAGTAGGGTATCTTGGCTACCCCCACAGTGCAGTGTGTGAGCCTGGGCTCCTAAGAGCAGCCTCCTCAAAAGGCCAAAACAGCAGAAATATACTCCCAAGGGTTCTAACTAAGCAACCACCATCAGCAGCCTTGTACCTGCTCTGTGGCAAGATGAAACAACTTTTTATTTTGGGTGGATCTGTGGATCATCATGCTACGTAAAGTATAAAAAAAATGAAGGAGCTAACCAAACACATTACCAATGAAGTATGACCACCTGACTACAATAGGGGTCTAAGAATCTCAGCAGGAAATTAAGTTTTCATTTTTCTGTGTGTGGAGCAGTGTTCAAAGTCTCAATGAAATTAACAGCAAATGTGGGGCTTAATAAATTGAATAAAAAGGAACACATCAATTCTAGCCACGTACTTCCCATACACAAAACCCCTTAGACAAGAGATGTCCTTGGCTAAATGAGTAAAAGTTTATACTGTTCAAGCCTGATGACCTGAGTCCAGATTCTTGGAAGTCACGTAAAAACCAGATGCACACCATTTTGTCTGTTATACATCTGTAATCTCAGCATTTCTATGGAGAGATGGGAGGTAGACAGAAAAATTCTCCAGAAGCCCTTGACTAGCTAGCCTGGAGTATGTAACACAGTAGCAAACAAGAAACTCTGCCTCAAACAAGGTAGACAATGAATACTGGTACTTGAGGCTGTTCTTTGACCACCTCATATACACCATGGATGGCACAAACACACTCTCACACATACACACTTATACACACACTACATTGCACACAAAAAATAAAAATAAATTTTAAGAAGTCTTGAACATAATTACTCTTTCCATCTTAGAAATTCAACCTAAAAAAATGAGGTAATGGTATTTTAAGGGCAGATTCATAAACTAATACATAAACTAATTCATAAACTAATCCCGGGAGGTGGTGGCGCACACCTTTAATTCCAGCACTCAGGAGCCAGAGGCAGGCAGATCTCTGTGAGTTCAAGACCAGCCTGGTCTGTAAGAGCTAGTTCCAGAACAGCCTCCAAAGCTACAGTGAAACCCTGTCTCAAAAAACAAAACAAAACCATAGTTGCCAGAGGTATGGTTCTACGGTAACACACTTGCCTAGAAAGTACAAGGCCCTAGTTCCATGCCCAGCACTACTGTAGCTTTGGATATTTCAGCTAAAGCTGAGACCTGCTTAGATACTCAAGGCAAATAGGTAAGCCAAGGTATACACACTTAGTGGAACACTATGTAGCTCTTATGATTATATTAGAACTATATATAACGTGGAAAATTGGGGTGGGGTCGTTAAGACAGAGTTTCTCTATAATAGTCTTAGCTGTCCTGAAACTTGCTTTGTAGACCAGGCTGGCCTCAAACTCCTGAGTGCTAAGATTAAAGGTGTGCACCACCACTGCCTGGTGCCCTCTGGAATCTTAAAGATTAAATATTAAAGTTAAATATAAAATAACTTCAAATTAAATGAAATAAAGTCTAGGAGAGTAGCTCAGTGGTAGAATGCGCGCGCACATACGTACGTGTGTGTGTGTGTGTGTGTGTGTGTGTGTGTGTGTGTGTGTGTGTGTGTGTGTGTGATGAAATATACATATAAGAGAAGGCAGAACTGGTTGAATAAAAATAGATGCTATAGAAGAGAATGGTGAGGGTGAAAAAACAGGGTGTTGGATTGCAGAACATTACTTATGTCATATTTTAATAGAACAACAACAAAAAACCAAGTTAAATATAACTTGAGCCTAATGGCTGCAAGCACTGTGTTGGTGAAAAAGAAGGCAGGTGGTTTTTCTGTGTGAAATTCTGAGTGTTCAGGAAGCTAGACTTAGCCAGATATGGTGATACACACCTTTGGTCCCAGTTCCCGGGAAGCAGAAACAGGCAGATTTCTGTGACCAGCCTGGTGTGCATAGCAAATTCCAGCCCAGCCAGGGCTACATAGCGAAATTCTGTCTCAAAAAGTCAGTGTAAAAGCTGGGCACAGTAGCATACACCTTTAGTTCTAGTACTTGGGAGGCAGAGACAGGCAAATCTCTGTGAGTTTAAGGTTAGTATGGTCTACAGAGTTCCAGGACAGCCAGAGAGAAACCCAGTCTCAAAAGCAAAAACAAAACAACAAAATAGTCAATGTGCTATGGAAGGAAAATCTCAGACATAAACTTTTGGTGTTGTTATGAGATAGGATTTCATGAGGCCTAGGATGGCCTCGATCTCTTGATCTCACTGCCTCCATCTCTTGAGTTACTGAGATTATAGATGTGAACCACATACAGGCAAGACATAATTTTCTTTCTTTTAACAGACAAGGTCTGTGTAGTCCTGGCTGGCCTGGAATTTTCTTTCTTCTTTCTTTCTTTCTTTCTTTCTTTCTTTCTTTCTTTCTTTCTAGATTTTATTTATTATGTATATAGTGTTCTGCATATATGCTTGCACACCAGAAGAGGGCACCATATCTCATTATAGATGTTTATGAGCCACAATGTGGTTGCCGGGAATTGAACTTAGGACCTCTGGAAGAGCAGTCAGTTCTCTTAACCTCTGAGCCATCTCTCCAGGCCCAGAATTTTCTATATACACCAAGCTGGCCGTAAAGTCAGAGAGTTTGGGGTGAGGGGAGGGAGAGGGAGAAGGGATTGACATGT